ATAATGAGAAATAGGATGAGATGTGCAACTACGTTTACCTTTCCGCAATGTAGTAGGAAGATCAAAGTCAGAAGGAGGAGGTGCAACCACAGGATCTGTCAACGAGGTCTGAATTGGAGGAGGGGTCRATGCTCTTTTGTGAGTATACACTTGTGTTATTGGTGGCCTCTCAATATTAGCCTACACTAGAGAAGGTGGGGATGGAACAAGAACCACGGGAAGGGGGTCCTCAACTGGAACAGGAAGTGGAACCACAAGAGCAGGAGAAGGAACTTCGTACTTGAAAAAAAAGGAACCGACTCAAAGAAAGTGGCATCCAAGCACACAAAAGACCAATGAGAGCTAGGGTTATAACACTTATACCCCTTTTGGGTCCTTGAGTATCCAAGGAAAATGCATTTGGTAGCACGCGCATCTAACTTGTCTAAACCAGGTCCTAAATTCTAAACAAAGCAAACACAACCAAAGACTCTAGGAATAAGGAGCAGAGAAAGAGTAGGAAACAAGACTGAGAAAGGTGATTGACTTCCAAGGATAGACATGGGCATCCGATTGATGACGAAACATGATGTCAGGACTCAAGACAGCACCACTCCAAAAACGCTTTGGGACATTCATATCAAGCATAATGGACCGAGCAGTTTCAAGTAAGTGTCAATATTTTCGTTCAACCACTCCATTCTATTGTGGGGTATAAGAGCAAGAAGTTTGATGAATTATCCCCATGGTGCTCTAAATATTCCTAAAATGGTGTTGAGGTGTATTCTTTTGCATTATCTGAGCGAAGAATTKTAACATGAACTCCAAATTGGGTACGTATTACAGCATAAATTTTTTGGAAAATAGAAAATAATTCGCTTCGATCTTTCATAAGATAGAGCCATATCATCCTTGAAAAGTCATCAACAAAAATTACAAAACACTTATAACCATTGTATGACACCACTTTATTTGGACCACAAACATCTAAATGAACTAAAAAAAAATGACGCAAGACACGACTATCAACTCTTGGACTAAAAGAGACTCTATGGTGTTTCCCAAGCTGACACGACTCACAATCCAACGATGGAAGATGACTTAAGGACGAAACCAACAACTTCAGAGCCTTGAGAGATGGATGACCAAGTCTACAGTGCCATTGGAGAGGAGTAAGAGATGACTGAAAGGCTACTGGCGGGCCACCTCCATCAAGGTAATACAATCCACCTATTTCATGCCCTCCACCAATCTTCATCCCCATCTTGAGATCCTGAAACACACAAGAAGAGGGATAAAAGGTTATAGAACAATTAAGTGACTTGGTTAGTCTACTAGCAGACATAAGATTAAAAGGGAACTTAGATACATATAAAACAGAGGATAAGGATAAGGAGGTCAAATCAACATCACCAACACCACAGATGGGAGAGGTAGAACCATTAGCAAGAGTAACCGTTTGGAATGTAGAAGATGAGGAAAATGAAGAAAATATATATGGAGTCCCAAATATATGATCTGAGGCTCCAGAGTCAATGATCCAGGGTGAGGGTTTGGAAGCCAAGCAAGCCATACCTGAATGGGCAAAAGTAGTTGTATTCTGTTGAGAGGATGTCTGAAGGAACTTCTCATTTAACTCACGTGGTACACTCACCATTTCCTTCCCAAAAGCACCAATAGATGTGGAGGGGGTTTGATCAATCTATTGGTTGCCACTAATTGTACCACTGCCACTAGTCACAACATAGTTAGCCCATGTGTTGGGTGGACCATGTAAATCATAACAGAAATTAACAGTATGTCCCTCTAATCCATAGTATGTGCATTTTCTAAGTCCATTACTTCTTCCTCTACCACGACCTCCCCCTGACTCTCAACCTCCCCTGCGGCCACTAGAACAATTAAACATAGGACCACCTCGGTTTCCTGGAAACCCACAGCCACCACCTCTACTTCCACGACCTCCCTCTCTAGTCACCACAAAACCAGATCTATCCGAGAGAGAGGAAGACTCTGTCGAATCAAATAGAAATTCTCCGAAGACGGGCAAACACTTCTTCAAGAGAGGGAAGAGCAAACCCTCCAAGTATTTGTGCTCAAACAGGTTCATATTCAGCCTTTAGACCCACTAGAAACCATGTCACATCAAGTTGCTCTCGATGTTGTTGTTGAACTTGAACATCTAGAGTTAGAGGATGATATACATTAAGCTCATTACGGAGATTTCTCATGCTTGTATAGTATTCTTCCAAGCTTTGGTTACCCTACTTCAAATTAAAGTACTCTTTTTTTTATCAATAACAATAAACTTTATTAATGATATGAAACTATGAAACTTAAGATACAAAAGGGGGAGGTAAAATGTCTTAACTCCCCACCAACAGAATACAATGAAAGAAAGTCAAAAGTTAGCCTAAAAAATAGATTCCCTATTCACCCCTTGCTTGGCTAACCCATCAGCAAATGAATTAGCAGTCCTCTTCACCCAACTGTAATGCACCACAATATCCCTACTCATTCATTTAAACTTTTTCTTCTCATTGTTATAACTCTACAAACCGCTGTCATCTTCCTTTAGCCACTTAATCACCACTGCCGAGTCACCTTCAAGGATCAAACATCTGATGTTCAATTCCCTTGCTCTTTAGATACCTTCCAGGGCTGCACGAATCTCAGCCCTAAGAGAGTCTCCTTCCCCAATTGGGCCTGAGAACATAGCAATGATAGCCCCATCCTCATTCTTGAACACTCCCCCAATCCCAGAAGGCCCTGGGTTCCTTAAGCAGCTACCATCAAAACTCAGTTTTATGAACCCAGAGGTAGGAGGGGACCAAGGACTACAAGTCCTCTTACATAGGGCAGAGGAAGCTATCTCTTTCCAATTTCTTACCAAATCAGCCACAGAATAATCTAAGAACAGAGCTCCATAGTTTTCAGTTAATGTGCCATCCTTAACAGTATTAGATCTAATAAGTCTTCAAAGGTTCTTTCCTTGTTTGGAAATATTCGTTTCTTTCTTCCCATTGGGTCCAACACACTACTGCCTTAATGCTTCTCCACATAATTTTCCCTCTCTTCTTCAGCCATCTGAAAAAAGAAGAGAACAAACTTTGGACGTTCCCAGGGGGAAGAATCCAAACACACCCAAAAAGGGAAAAAGCCCACACTCCCATACTGATTTAGCAACCGAACAAGTAACCATAAGGTGGTAATCAGTTTCCCCTTCAGCTTTACATAGAGTACACCTTTTAGGAAGTAAACAAGAATTGAGTCTATTTTTCTGAAGTAGGCCATTTGTGTTAATTCTTTCCAGGAAAGTTTCCCAACAAAAACTACCAACCCGAAGAGGAATGGGCCTACTCCAAATTTCTTTAACCGGGAAAGACAACCCAATAGAATCAGAAAGTTGAGTTAATGTCTCAAAAAACGAAGCACAAGAGAAAACACCTGATGAGGAAGGAACCCAAAATCTAGTGTCCTCCTTATTAGGGTCCAAGAAAACATTTTCGAGGATAGCTAACAAAGACATGATGTGGCCCAAATCTGTATCCCTAATTGCCCTTCTCAGACCTAAGTTCCACCCAAAACCAGAATGAGAGTCTGAAGGGCATAAGAAAGATGATATGGGTTCATTTTTCAAATCTGATAGAACATACAAAGAGGGAAATCCATTCATCAAAGGTGAGTCCCCAACCCAATGTTGTTCCCAAAATTTTATTCTATTACCAAAGTTAAGACCATACCTAATCCAAGGGGAGAAGACTGAAAGCAACTTATATATGGCTTTCCAAGGAGAGGCAGCTATAGCCCTTGCCAAAATTCCAGGTTCCCAACCATTGTCTTCCAATCCATGTATGCTAGTTACAATCTTTGTCCACAATGTCTCTTTCCAATGGAAACCTCCATAACCATTTCCCCAACAATGCCATGTTCCTTTTCCTAATATTCTCAATCCCAAGAACTCCTAGCTTTTTACATCTAGTTACCACCTCCCATCTCACCCTATGGTCTCGCTTTTCCTCTCCAGGCTCCCACAAGAAATCCCTCATAAGTTTTTCCAAAATGTTAGAAACCTTTGTGGGGATCTTAAACACTGATAGGAAGTAAACAGGTAGATTAGCTAGGGTTGACCTAATCAAAGTGATTCTCCCCCCGAAGGAAAGATAATTTTTCCTCCAAGAAGCAAGCCTTTTTTCAAATCTCTCCACCATCGGGTTCCAAAAGCTTACCTTCTTAGGGTTATCCCCCAAGGGGAGGCCTAAGTAAATCATAGGCCAATCCAAGGTTGCACAACCTAACACGCCTGCAAATTCACTTATCTCCCTCTCCTTCAAATTCACACCCACCATACTACTCTTATCCAAGTTCACCTTGAGATTAGACATCTGCTCAAAGAGTTGTATTGCCAATTTTAAATTCCGGATCCAATTGATGTCCCCACCTTCACATAACAAGATTGTGTCATCTGCAAACTGCAGATGCTTAAGTGGTATCTGCAGTATGTAAGGAGAAGAAGAAGAAGAAGTCACTTCTCCTAGGAGAGAAAAAGTCACTTCTCCTAGCCGACCCACTTTGTATTTATATTGTATAAGCTGAATTACAGAAGACAATATTGTCCCTCATTAAGTATGGAACATATAACTTAAACTTAAACAAAACAGACTATTCACTCTCAATTAAATAGACAAATGACCAAAATACCCTTGTATTGTCGACTCTAACAGTTGGGAAGTATTGATACAGATGGGTGGATGGTGGACAGAAAACATGTCAAGGGTCATGGTGTTTGGGGGTTCGTATGAAGTTAGGCTTCTCTGGTGCTGTAGTATTTGCAATTGGATTTTGATTGTTGGATCAGGGAGAGAGAAAATTCAGTGTCGGGGTTTATGTTGGGGGAAAATTTGTAGAGATAGCATGTTATTTATGGCAGTGATATCTTATCACCTGGTTTTTGTATTACATTTTTTGTAAAGTTCAATCTTTTTTATCGAAAAAGCTAATGATTTAAAAACAAAAATCACCTTGTAAATGACATAATTGATAAGACGTTCCACCACTTTGCGAATCTCAGAAGGGTAGAGCTGCACGAAAAATAAAGTCTGCAAAAACAGAAAAATATCCATCAAAATAAAAATGTCAAGTTTATTCAACAGTGAACTACTCATTTCTTTAGCAGAGCAAACTGAATATCAAATGATGATGTGCATACTAGCTACCATATAGAATCATCCTTTTATACGCATGACAAAATGAAAACAGTAAGTTATAGTCATTACTTGGCTAAATTTCATAGGTAGAGGTGGTTTTCATATACCTGAACTGTTATGGGGAACTCTAGATTGGATTATCAAAATCAGTAATCACATAACGCCTCTGTAGTTTGAATGATTGTTCCTTGCAACTTTGGCAAGAGTTTCTTATCATTGCCATTAATAATCTCTTTGATCAGCTTAATGATAAAAAAATAATAGTCATTATAATAAATGTAAACAAAATCCTAAGGACTAAGGAGTGAAAGACCTAAACCCAAGGAAATGTGATATCAAAACTCAGATCAAATGCAAATAAAGGAAAAACAAACAATTTTACAAATTAAAGTAGTGGATTAATAATCCAACCACTTAGCAAATATCAACAAGCACCATGCTATGTTAAGCAAATACAGCGAGGACATGCTAAAAATTAAAGCAGTGATGGCGCACCTAGGTACACAGGCAAGGCGCATTTTAGGGTATGTGCCTCGCCTAGGTCCCAGGTGCAGCACTTTAAAAAGGCACATGCCTGGTGTACCTTGTGCTTCAGCCCAGGCATGCGCTGAGTGCTTTTTCTTTTTCTTTTTCTTTTTCTTTTTTTTTTTTTGTGCTTAGCAGTTGCCCCCCTCCCTCCAGACCAAGCCCCTCGAGGCAAGCCCAAACAAATCCATATATGGGTCTTAAATTCTTAATCCTTGTAAAAAAAAAAAAGGTTTTATAACTTTAAGTGTCTTTTAAAAATATCTTTTATTAGGACGAGTGAATGAACAACATTAGCAAATATGAGCTTGCCTTCAGGGGCTTTGATACAAAGGCAGCTCAAAGAATCAAGAATGCATAATGTTTAACATCGCAATAACTTTTGAAGTAATGCAATTGGGAAAAAATAAAGAGATTAAGAGTTTACAAGTTTGAATATGTTTTATATGTTATACTTGATTTTATTTTTAAATTTCATTTTAAATATGTTTTACATGTTATGTTTATGTATTTTAATTTAAATTTCATTTGTTTTAAATTTTAAGTTTATATTTTTAATTAATAATGTGCTTACTATTTTTTAAGTTTTGCATTTTTTTTGAATTTTTTAGCATTTTTTGCATTTTTGCACCTTACTTCGAAAAGGCATGCACCTCGCGTCTTAGGCTCAAGTGGCCCTTGTGCTTTTAAAACACTGAATTGAAGTATCTGATATGATACAGCACCTTAGTACAGGTATCCAGGTATCATAAGCATTAGGATATTGGTGCAATCTCATAAATATCTTAATACAAACTACAACTATGCAGGAAAAAAATGATATTGGATATTTAGTTTACAATCCTTTTTTTTTTGCAACCAAAGAAAAAGTTAGACTAGATAGGCTATAGGGAATCAAAATCACTGTTTTCAAAAGAAAAGGTGAAAGTTTGACTTTTCGATGTGCCTTTTGTTTGTAGGACTGTCAATGGGCTCTGAAAATTTGATACCCGATTTGATTCCGGATCCAATTATCTAAAAATTGGATGTTAGAACTTGCATCTGATTAATAATCGGATAGGATCAGATTTAACCCCATCCAATCTGATTAAAATCCAAGATCGATAAAAATTTATACATATATAGTATAATTATGTATATATTATATAAGATACAATTATATAAAGCTTATAGCTGATAAATTTAATATTTTATATTTATATACATTAATTATACATGTATAACTTAAAAATAACTAGTTTTTTCACTTCTTATTTTTTTGTAATTTTAAACACAATAAGATGGATGCAGATTAAACCCGAATTCAATTCAAGTTCAACATATCAGATTTCAGATCGGATTCGGATCCAAAGGTTTGATAATCAGATCGGATGTGATCATAACTGGATCCAATCCAAATCTGATCCGATTCCAGCCCTAATTGGAAAGAAAAATCAAAATAACCCTTTCAATGCCTTCTTTTGTTTTATGCCTTTTCCATTTCATATACCATTATCCAATCATGATCCATCAAAAAATATTTAAAGCAACAAAATGAACATAAAAAAATGTATATAAATATTTTATAATATTTCAAATAACTAGAGATACAAACAAAAAAATAAAGTCTTAAAATGGCTTTTTGGATAACTAGGTTGACTAGTCATTAGCCATCCTAGGCAACTGTATGATGAATAACGACTGACTAATAATGCACTTAGTCTGGCCCTCAATTGACTAGTTGGTTGACGATTAGTCAAACTTTGATAACACCGATATCCATATGCTTAAACAGATTTTTAGAAACGCAATTTTATGGTCACCTTCAGCTAACACAGTTAAAAACTTTACTAACATCTTAAAGCTGAACAAAAGTTCACCATCGCCGGTCATCCTTATCCAGCTTACCCCACCTAATTGGGGTAATGAAATACAAATCCTGTTCCTACATTCCATTCTAAGGGAACCAATTCTCTTGTTTGGTAATGGAAATGTCGGACACATCTCCTTTTTTGTAAGTAACAATATATATATATATATAGTAACAATCAGAATTTTACTACATTAACCCACTTGTAATTTTGTATGGATTTGTACATAATTTTTTTATCAGCAAGGAAAAATTAATTTTATTAAATTGAGAAGATTGTACATAATCCTTGTACTATATTTTGTGTTGCAATAAAATTTCTGTTGTTGGTAAAAAACAAACAGAACTTTATTACATTTGAAAAATAGAATGGTAGATAGACAGTAATGTGCCAAGCACCACAATATTCAGCTAGCCTTGGCTACCCCCCTCACCTTGGAGAATTAATCCCCAAACAAGATTTCTGTTTCATCCTTCTTTTTAAGGGGTTTTTTTTTTTTTTTTGAGAGAGAGAGAGAACAAGTATATCATATATTCAACATGTACAGCCAGGAACTATACATCAGATTTCAAAAAGACCCCAAAAAATCTTCTCAAAACCAAAAGGCTTGAAAGCAGGTCAAATGATACCAATCAACTTATCTGACTAGCCGGATAGAATGCTGTTATCAAAAAATTGACCATGGGGAATTATTTTGAAGAGATCTGTGACTGACAACCAGGTATGAATCGAAGCCATAACCTGTTGGACCACCTTATCCAAACCCCAACTCTCCCTTTCAAAAATCCTTCTATTCCTCTCCTTCCACAGCCCGCAATATATAGCATGGGGAACTATACCCCACAAGAGCTTCCCTTTTTAAGGTATGTATTTACTATTGCTAACTCATAAGTTGTTGCAAATTCTGAAGTTGTATCTAGTTTCATACATGCATGAGGAAACCAACTTCAATTCCATAAACGAATCTTTTATGGTAACTCACTACCAAAGAAGTCAAAACTCTCCAACTCTAAAACTTATGTACCACCAAGCACCTTAACAGCTTATGTCTGCAACACCAAAGACGTGTCGTGCATGCAAATGATCCTACAATTTAGGGAACTAGAAAATTCACTGAATTTCTAACAAGACAAAGGCTAACGAGTATCCCTGTAAATTGCAAATTGTTCTCAACTAGCTCATCCTTAATGTGAACTCTCAAAGCTTGCAGTTTATTCAYGTCTTATTTCCAACTTTGTTTTTGAACAGAATCGATGTGCCCCTGATTGAAAAAAAAAAAAAAAGATTTTTGGAAAAGGCATTGCATGCTTTATTGTAGTATGAGAAAAATGAAAGAACAGCAAATCTTCTCAAAGCAGAAAAGAAAATTGTAAAAAAAAAAAAAATCTAGGGAAAGCAAGATTAATACAACACAAATGTTTGCCACTATTGCATACAAAGTTATCCAATTATTACCTTAGTATACAGTTCTTTTTTTTTTTTTTGATCAATTAGTATACAGTTCATTCATTATGCATTCTCAAGTCTCCAGCCATGAAATGACTTACCTTGAGACATAAAACGACCAGGATAAATACATTAAGTGCAAAATTCGCTAGCAAGGCAATTGTGATGTATGAACCCAAAAGCAGCTCTAGTGCATGGCCAGCATTCCCTGAATGAATAACGTTTTCACCAATTGAGCCATCTGACTTGATCCGATCCAGTAACAATACTGTCCACCATTGGAGCCCTACAAGGCTTAGCACCGTACAGAGTGCTGAGATGGATAAGTAGCCCACACCCATTTTCAGTAAAAGCAAACTCTTTACCAAGATCAATCTCCCAAAGTTTCATCACAACTGAACTAGCATGGCTAGACAAAAATATCCAGGATGTGGCATCCAAAGATCAGTTGACTAGGTACAAATCACAAAAAACTGGAGTGACGATAACTTAGAGGGTTCATACTCCTCCCTGATCAAGACATGCATCACAAACGTCAATCCCCATAATGAAATAAAAGAACCTGCATCAAATTATAACTTAGTCACTTCTGCATGAAAAGAATATCCCTCTAAATATATATCGTTTATAACTGACAGCTTCGGTGTTGAAAAAGAAAAATTCTTGATAAGAACCCCAGTACACATTGCAGAACCTAAAAGTTTTACAATATACAAAAAAAAAAAATGAAACTCAAGGCATTCGACAAAAATTGGGAAGCAAGAGTTAATATTTAATTCCAGAAACTAGAAGCATAGGTATACAAGTGCAATAAAGAAAATTGATTCAAAAGTCCTTCTAATAGCATTATGTGCCAATGAATCTCTTCTCTTCATTGGAAGATCGAATTCCCCCCAAAAGGAATAATCAATTAATAGCTAAACAGACAGGAAGGCGGATATGGCACTGAACAGAACGAAATGGAGAAACAGGATTCACCTAACCGACCCCATATAGTTAGGACAAAGCTTAGATGATGACGATGATCATGATGCTGATAATAACAGGAAGACATACAAGAAATATCCAGACATCGAAATCAAACTTTCGAGAACCCTAAATTGACGAAATTCCAGTGATCAAAATTAAACTACGAGAACAAAAATAGCAAACTTCCCATCCAAACCTAACAATCTATTACGGCAAATCAAATTAAAGCGATACGCATACGTTGAAATTGTAATTAAAAAGCGAAATTGGGCAAAATAACGTACCTGCTTCGACCAAGAAGGTTTAATGTCGTCGGCAGGGTTTTTTTCACTTTCTCTGCTTTTGTTCCTCGTAACGGAGAGAGAGAGAGAGAGAGGTCAGTTTTTTGCGGGAACGTGAAAACGAAAAACGAAACCCGAAAATAAAAACTAAAAATGAAACCTTCTTTTCTCTAACGACGTTGTCCTCTAATGAAATTCTCCCTTTCTCCGTTTCTCGCTTTTGGGGATCGCCGCTTTAGTTATCACGTAAACTTTTATTATTCATTCATACCGCGAACGTACATTTTCTTGTTGGGCATTAAATAATTAGTTGATTCATTCTCTCCGTTTCAGTATTACCATAATACCCTAGTGTTACGGTTCAGCACAGGCTTAGCCTTGCCTACGCTTGGCAGGCTTACGTTAGGGACATGCCCGTCATTTTCGCCTGTAAGATTTTTG